GGCTGGGGATTCGAACCCACCACCTTAGGTGTATGTGGCTGGCGCCTTAGCTGGTTGAGCTATAGGCGCTGAGCCTAAACTTGATGTTTTAACAGCTGTACATGCACAGGCCAGACCTGCCCTGTTCTGGACAACCCGACAATCTGCCTAGGTGGCCTTCCCTGGGGCTCCTGCTTCCCATCTTGCCTCCACCCCCAGGGGTGCACTTGCCAAATACAAATCAACTCAGAGTCCACAGAGTCCACCGCCTAGCAACAGCTTTATCATTATTTTTTCTTTGATATAGGGTCTCTCTCCGGTGTCTGGGCTAGAGTGCAGTGGCATCATCATAGCTCATAGCAATCTCAAATTTTTAGGCTCAAGCCATCCTCCTGCCTCAGCCTCCCAAGTAGCTGGGACTACTGGTGTGTGCCACCATGCTCAGCTAATTTTTCATGTTGTTTTTTAGGGATGGGGTCTCACTGTGTTACTCAGGCTGGTCTCAAACTCCTAGCCTCAAGCATCTTCCCAAAGTGACAGGATCTCAGGCGTAAGCCATAGCACCTTGCCTCCACAATGGCTTTTAAATTTAAGATCATACATAACACTGCTCCGCTTGAAACCCTCCATTCATTTCCCATCTCATTCAGAATGAATCGCTAAGTGTGACTTAGAAAGTCCCACATGCACACAGCCATGCCTCTCGTCTCATCCTCCCTACCCTCCCACTGCTCTCTCTTCTCCAGCCACGCTTGCATCCTTGATATTTATGCCGGGCATATTCACATCAGAGCCTTCCAGCCATGTGGTGTTCCTGTTGCCTGAAATGCTTTTCCTCATATATAAGCAGCCACTTTCTTCAGGGCTTTTCTGAGAACCAGCCTGCCAGTGCAGCCTTCCCTGGTCCTCTCTCTGAAACACCAACCATCACTCTCAATTACTCCATATCCCCTTGCTTTGTTTTCTCCGCCACACATCTCACTACCTAACACAGTACACCTGTTACTTGTCAATCAGTTGTTTCTTTTCCTTAGGCCCCTAAGTTCCACGAGAGCAGGGGCTTTGGCTGTTTTGTTCCCTGCTGGATTCTTACTGCTACGCTGGTACCTGAGTGTGGAAAACACACAGACCATTTTTCCTTTGGTCTCACACCACAATAACTAACACAGAAGACTTTTATGACAGAATGTGCTGGGCCTTCTCCCCACACACCAAGCAAGAACCAGTTCTGCAGTGGACACCAGCTGGACGTCCTCCAGTTCAATTCTGGCACTATGCACCCAAGACTGTGTCAGGCTCCACAAGTTGAGGCCTCAGTCCTGGGGCCTGTGTTTCTGAGTGACAAACTATAACCTGGGGCTCCCCAAACCCCCTCCTTTGGTTTGATTAACTTAATAAAGCAGCTCACAGAACTGAGAGAAACACTCACTTATGTTTACCAATTTATTACAAAGAATTACAAAGGAAACATACAGGTGAAAAGATGCATCAGGCAAGGTGCCCAGCAGGCAGGTAGGGACCCCCTCCCTCAGGAGCCTCCACCTGTTCAGTGGTCACGAAGTCATCCCCCCCTCAGACCTTTTGAGGTTTGTATGGACTTTTCATTAAGTAGGTAGGCAGGACTGATTAAACTACTGGCCTTAGTGGTCACCTTGACTTTCAGCCCCTCTTCTCTCCCAGGAGCTTAGTCAGTAGGTTTCAAAGTCTCAATCCTCCAATGAGGCGTTGGTCTTATAGGTGACCAACCTCCCTGTCAGTCAACTCATTACCATACAAAAGACATCACTTATGTGATTCTAAGGGTTTTTAGAAATTGTATGGCAGGAAATCAGGTCCAAGAGTAAATATTTATTTTGCAGTATCACACTACCTAACAAATAGTAGCTGCTTAATAAATTTGTTGAAAGAATAAATAATCCCCATATCCAACTCAAAATATCACGTTCTTCATATCATACTCATGGTTTTGGGTTGTTTTGAGACAGAGTCTCATTTTGTTGTCCTGGGTAGAATGTCATGGTGTCACAGCTCACAGCAACCTCCAACTACTGGGCTCAATTCTCTTGCTTCAGCCTCCCAAGACTCAGCTATTTTCTTTTAGAGATGAGGTCTTGCTCTGGCTCAGGCTGATCTCATACTTGTGAGCTCTCGGGCAATCCACCAGCCTTGGCCTCCAGAGTGCTAGGATTACAGGTGTGAGCCACCGTACCCAGCAGGGTTTTTGCCTTTTTAGAGACAGGGTCGCCTTTTGTTGCACAGGCTGGAGAGCAGTGGTATAATCATAGGTCCCTGTAGCCTGGAACTCCTGGGCTCAAGTGATCCTTCTGCCTGACCCTTCATAGTTGGGATTATCAGTACACGCTACCATACCCAGACAATTTTTATAATTTTTTTTTTTTTTTTT